CGAAACTACCAGCTGTTCCACGGGAGAAAGATGAGGCTTTCTGCTCCCATAAAGATTTACAGCCTTGGAAACCCTGTACAGGGTCGCTATGAGTCAGAATCGACTAGACGGCATGTAACCACCACCACCACCACCAGTCTATAATGTAGGTGTGCTTCATTCAATCAGTTGAAGACCTGGGAGCCAAAAGGGAGATTTCCTAGGGTGTGTTATGTAAGTAGATATTTTCCCAGAACACTCTTAGTCATCAATGTTATTGATACCTGATCTACAAATTTTGAGATGTAAGACTACAATAGTCTCCAGCATGGACACTATGAATCTTGTGCTTACCAGCCCCTCAGCCCCCAACACATAATCCTCAATCTCTCTCTCTCTTTCTCTCTCCAAATATATATGTGTGTACGCATATGTGTGTATGTGTGCATATGTAAATGTGTAAGGTAGTCCATGAATTTTTGAAGCCCCCCTCATGTTTGTGTGTGTACATACATGTACACTTGCACACACACATATTCAAGTACACAAGCATCAGTCAAAACGTATTGCTACTAGGGTTCCAGTTCATACATGCACAGGTTTGTTCCAACCAAAAGATGTTTAAACACGTCTCTGTTATCAATAGATGGTTGTAGGCAGGTTTTCTCAGTAACATACTAGCCATTTGAATGTGGTGTAAATTGGATGTAGAGACCCTGTATAGGGTTCTCAGGGAGCAGCTAGTGGGTTTGGACTAACCATCTTGTGGTTCAAGGTTCAGTGCTGATCATACAGCGCCAAACCAGGAGTCCACAGAACTATTCAGGGAAGGGTTAGAGCGATGGAAACCCTTCTTTCAGAAGTGTGTAGACCTAGATGGAACATATGTTGAGAAACAGTAACTTAATATTTTTATATTTACATTTAATAGAGGGTTCTATGATTTTGTAGCAATACTTTTTGACTTGCCCTCTTGTATGTGTGTGTGTGTGTGAGTACTTCACTTATATTTGTACTTATATTTTATACATCACAGGGTCTGTTTCTCTAGAGCAGGGGTGGGGAACATCCATATAAGGCCTACAAAATCATTTGGTCTGACCTTGCCAAGGCAACTGAAGGTGGGACTTGAAATTCAATAAATCTAGGTGCTTTTTTCATAGCAACATAAATTTATATTAAGTGAATCATAATAATAATGTACATTTTGAGGGACCACCAAGGAACGTCCATTATAGGATAGACAGGACAAATACATTGTTGTTGTTGTCAGGTGCCAT